CTTGGAATGGTTAAGAACAAAATAAAATCTTGATAATAGTATCCCTTAGTAAAACAATATAATCCTAATAGAGCATAGAATTGACAAAAGACGTTTCTTTTTTCTCACGACAATTACTCCTGTATTCGTCACAGTTTTCCCTTGCTGCGTTCTGCATACGAGGATTGACTGAAATCCTTTTTTACAAAGCTGGTAAACAAGCGATAGGTCTCCCGATGCCGGCGTCCTCCGCGACGACAAATTCCTCAAATATTTATCTGTCTTTCCCTCGGAACCCTTCAATCGTCGGCGCCCCAAACGCCGCTTCCGTTTCACGCTCGCGGAGTATGTCAATCCTGACGCCTATCGACGTATGACAAATATCCTCGTCCCACGACTGCTTGCACTCTCTGTCAGCCTTGACAACCGGGACAAAAGGACGTCTCGGAGGGAAGAAAAGATTCGTAAAGGGTGTCTGTCGCCAAGTCACCGCTCGCCTCGTCATTCTTGACAATCGCTTTTCCATTCCGAGAAAACGCTACCAGACACCGTACATAGTTTTCTTCTGTTGCGACGTCATCATGAGTGGATGCGGTTTCAGTGGAAGTTGTTACTATTGGACGTTTACAGGATTGAAGTAGAAAATTTAATAGAAATAATATATCGTAAATTTATTTCTATAAATTTATTAATTAAGATGATCTATTCAAATCAGATCTTAAAAGATACCGTTGTTGAGTATATCTCGAAAACTAAAGCGAATTAATCAACACATATCAAGTTCAATAAGATTGATGATATATATCTATTCTGTTCCGTACAATTTTCTATATCTTCTTACTTTCTCTTACCTGTAAAATACAACAGAACGCATTATCTTCCACCCAACGTATCTTCACCCCGGAGGCTTTCAGAAGTCTCTAACAGGGCTGGAGAAACGCCTCCGGTCTGTCCAATAGATTAGGCCGCGTGTTTCTGACACACGCGACGCAAGTTCGCAATTAATTTATTTTTCCCTAGTCGGTCGTTAATTGTTAAACTTAGATGGGCGGTCGCCGGCAATCCCGCAGTGTTAGACTTCCGATTGGAAGAAAAGAGAGGAGACACTCAGTGGGACCAAGGAGCGAAAGGAACCGAGAACTGGAAGGAAAAGAGAAGAAGCTGGATGTTGAAGTGGAAGGGAACGATGACGATCGACGAAGAAAGAGACAGCCAGCTTGAGAGGGTAGAAAATTTGTTAGGCAGGGTGTGAACCGAGAAGTTGAGGAGGGAATCCAGGCAGGAAGCCAAGACGCGACACGAACATTGGATTGGGTTACCGAGATAATTAGAATGATGATTAGGAGCGGAGCACGCCTCGTTGACCAATTCTTTCGCGCGCCCTTTCTCCGGGTGCCTTTCGAAAGATCAGCTTTCTTTCAAGGGGTCACCGGAACTGAATGGGGCGAAAGAGTAAATAACGGAACCAATTGACAATGAAACAACATTTATAGTGTAAATACTCTGTAAAGACTTTTCTACCTGAATGATCTGTAAGCAAGAAAGAAAACTGAATTCGTGTAACATCATGGATGAATTGTTTTCAAGAAATCCAATCATTTTCGAAGCGTGACTGAAATTAAATGGGATAGAGTAATAAATGTACGAATCCTGTTTCTTCTTCAATCTTTGAACAAAAGAAGAAGAAGAAGAAGAAAAACACTGAAACTGACTAAATTTGTGGCACATCACGGGCCACTACTAAGACGATTGGTGAAATCGCTATTGACAGACTTCGACGACGAACATTACAACACCCCAGTGACACATTTTTATGCGCCTTAGCGTGATTGGTCGTTCAAGTTGAACCCCGTGAGATCACTTGGCTGGATGCGAGTAACCATCGTAAAAAAGAAAGGCCTAAGACGTATGAGACAGACCTGAATATGAATTACGAAATACGGTGATTCGTAAGCAGTGCGAGAGATTTTTCGTACGAGAGAATGTTATAAGAAACACGGATCAGACTCGACTTTTGCAAAGTTCTTCTTTTCTTGGTTACATTCTGCGTACTCGACGCTGCTTAGCTCCATCCGCGTTGAAGTAGATGTGAATATTTGATCGGTCCTTCAACCTTTGCCTCCTTCGCCCTCCCACAAGCCTCGCCTCTTACCTAACCCTCAGTCCCAGCTGCGGTGAATTATTTAACGCCCCCAGGGACACCAGTTACCAACATACATCTATGTGTCAGCCAGATTTTCAAACTCTTTTGTTCGTACAACTTCGTTCGAGCATATCGCATGATCAGTACGATATGACATAATGCTTGATTCTACTCGCTAGCGCTAGCGCGGGCTTTTGTTAAGGTCCTAAAAATTTCGATCAATTTTCAAATCAATGACGAGTGAATTTTTAATCTTCAAACTAATAACAATAACAGATTGCAAATTATTAGTTTCAATTAGTGAAACGCAAGATTTTATTTTTCATATTATAAAAAATAAATATGAGTGCCTTTCTTTGTTAAAATATTTCTTCGTAATCCAACATTCATTAGCTTTTATGTGAATGAACTCACGCAGATAAATCATGGTAACATAAACGACTGAAACTAAATTATTGTAATTAATTATCGAGAGTAAGGTAGAAAATTAGTTTGGAATGTTTGACGCTCGTTCATTTACAATTAAATAAGATTCGAGAGAGAATAAAAAGTATACTATGCAGCGATCCATGTGACGATACTTAGAAACTGGTAAAGAACCTGCGATCGATAAATTATTTACTGATCAGTGGTTAGAAATATTCTGAAAATAAATAGAATACAATAAAATTTTAAGATTTGTTCTAAATAAAATAAAAATAATAATTTAATGTACGGTTGTAGATTCAATTATTGATTAATTCTTAGTTAATGATTCAATATTTTTGTCACGATTCCTAACTTACCAACCATCATGTTGTTATCTTCTGCGTCCTTATCTACAAACGGTATATCATACCAACACAGACGAGTCGCAGGCGAAGTATATAGTATATTCATATATCTCGTCGGTGATACCTTTTATTAAGTAGGATTAAGTAGGATCATTGATTATACATTTTTATTTTTTCATCTGTGTTTATTTTTTATTTGTACTTTTAAGATCTAGTTACTCTGCACGCTAGAAAAGGTTAATTTCTTGATTATGATAACTTAAGGTCACATGTAGTCACTTTCAGATAAGGTTAATGTTACAATCACAGACTATGTACAACATAGAATTCCTATTTTAAGGAATTCTATGTTTAATAAACTGAAATACCCATAGTATAAAAAAAAAAAAAAAAAAAAAA